CACAGTTATGTTAATAATAAATTTTTTTTTTCTTTTTTTCTTTTTTTTTTCCTTTTTTTTTTTTTTTTTTTTTTTTTTTTTTTTTTTATAATATAGTGTTTATTTGTGTGGCGCAAGAAATGATACTGCATTGCAGTAATAAATTTCTCGGCAAATGTGATGATTGATGCTTTCCTGCATGAAATATTCGGATTTATCATGATTTTTTTAAATATGATTGCTAATTTTTACTCGCCAAAAAACTATTTACAATTTTTTTTTTTTTTTTTTTTAGAAAAAAATTATTGTTCGATTTATGAGGAAATACCCGAATAAACTACCAAAATTTAAATCTTCGTTTTGTCTGTTTTCGAGAACCATCACTACCACCAGCATCATTATCATCATCACTACTTTCGAGATCTGCACCTTCACTTATAGAGACTACGTTGACCACGTGATCTGTATCCACGTCATCGTCGTTTACGACGATACTCTTACCTTTTTGATGAAGATTCATTGTTAAGCGTCGTGTCATTGGTTCTATTTGAAGGGTTGAAATTTTATATCTTGGAGATCTTGGTTGGTTAATTGCCACGGCAGAAGGTTCCGTAGGAATTGGTGTAGATGGTGGTGTTGGAGGAGGAGGAGGAGGAGATGGAGATGAAGAGGCAGATATATTCTGTATGTCACCAACTCGAATGCCATTATCATCAAGTCCTGCTTCAGCAGCTATTATTGCAGTAGCAAGCGCATTTTGGCGTTGTCGTTTATGTCTGGATCGAATGTATGCGACTAACAGAGCACCTATTAAAAGTATACCAAATATCGTTATCGAGATTATTATTGGTAAATTTTCGTTTGTTATCGTAGAATTATTTGCAGATGACGCGATTCCAGTGGGAGAAGTAGTTTTAGTTGTTTTAGGTATAATAGAAGCTTTGTAATTTACAAATAAAAATAAATAATAAATAATTAAATAATTAATTGTGAAATTTGAAATAAAGATATTCACAGATTATGAGTAGTTATTATTATACTAACCCAATGCGCTTATGCTAGATGGAGAGGGACTTGAGGTTATGGAAAGATCCGTAGAAGAGCTGGGATTGCTTGAACCAACAGGTACTGCCGCCATCACAGTTGGGGAAGTAAAAATTGAGGTTATGGAAGGATCCGTAGGAGAGCTGGGATTGCTTAAACCAACAGTTGGGGAAGTAAAAATTGAGCTAGAAGTAATGATTGAAGATCGAGAAGGGATGCAACACCGCGCTTTCCCAGACGGAACATCCATTATCTCTATGCGCTTTTCACCATCAATCAATTAAATGTCATAACATAATAACAAACTATTGTATGCAAAATTGAATAGAATTAAGGAATTTTATATAAATAAGGAAAGTTTATATGATTGAGATTGAATAGAAAGTCGAAAAAGACGCAAGAGAATGAAGTATATAAATATTTATCGACTGATTGTAGAAAGATTGATTTATAGTTTTTCAAGAGTCAAAAATATTTGAATTAAAATTGGTTGCATTTCCTTGTTTTATTAAATACAGCTATTTTCAGCGTAAATTAATTTACAGTAAATACTAGATGTAAACAGTCTGCAGGTAATACAACTGTTCACCATATTTATACACTTTGAGTAATTATTTATATTCTTTACCTTTTTTGACAAATTGCTTTATATGTAGTGTATTTATCCAAAAATGATATCAATATAGTAACAGTAAAACGGACTTCAATCAAGATGATCTGCTATTATACTTATACTGTCAATGGACAAACGACTAAGTTGTTTTTAGCTTACCATCTCCTGATTCATTAATTGTCGGATGGCGGGAAACTATTAATTCTTTGTACGTACGTAATATATTATTTTAATTATTACACTCAACCTTTGCTTCAGACCCTACCTAAATTCTATCTAAATTCACTATAATAATGATGATGGTTAGAATAAAATTACTTGTAATAATATTTATATTTATTAAAGTTAAGAAAACAATCTATGATACACATATTTTTAGTAAACTTTTTTTTCAAAGTATTAAATCCAATTGATTGTAATTGATTGTAGTTGATTGCTCAAATTTTCTTGACTTGAATTCTAATTTTGAAACTGTGTCATCGGTTTTTTTCCCATTAATTTATTAATTATACAACGTTATTATTCCAACCTTTTAACAGTTAAACAGTTAAACATTATTCTTGTCATAGCATTTAGACATTATTCCTGTCTTAGCATATAATCATTATTTCTTAATATTTAATCATTATTCTTGATTTGCATTATTCTCCATTTATTCACTGCATTCATTGCATTCTCTAAACTAAT